GCTGAAAATGAGTGTATTTTTCATGTAAAGCAAGTTCAAAGTTGTAACATGAGAGCAAAATTGTGACACAAGTGTAAATTACAAGTAGCATGTGCGATGTCAATTCTCAATTCTATAATGTTTTTTCAGGTGAATTATTAATAAGAATTGACATGATTTCATGAGCAGTTTGTTACAAAATAAGAAATGTTAATTTTTCAGAAACTACGAATTGCACTTGTCCTAACAACTTGTGCAATTTTGTTGTCTTGGGAAAATTTACTCATGCCTAGCAACACCAAATTGCACTCAAAATCATGTGGTTACCTATACTAATTGGGATGCATATGGTTTCTTACTTTTAAGGAGGACACTATATCTATAAATCACAACTGGACCAATGCTTGTGGAATTTTTAAAATGTGGGAACATTTAAGAAATGAACTGGTCAAGGTATGTTGGAACGGTTTCCTGGACGGGGGTTGTTTTAACTGGGACCAAAGGTTATTGATCCTCCACACCCTAATATCAATAGCCATATTCTCTATACTCTTTCCTAAAAAATTATTTCGGTACTGACAAAGAGAATTCGTATATCAATCAAGAGTTTTGTTAGGTTGGCGATCATGTGAGAATAGGTCACGCTATTTCATTATGAGAGGAAAAATAGTTGGCGAAAACAAGGACACAGGCAAAAATTACGAGCCAGTGAAAATAAGATGAGGCTTTTTATTGAGAAATTTTGCGCGTAATAATCTTGTTGTGAAAATCCCATACAAATCTTTAGGCTTGATGCCATCTTTGGTATTGCGCGATGTGTTTAACACGTAGTCTATTCTCGCAATGAGCTTGGAACGTTAGCGATTATAAGTCTCAATTTAGCTTGTCTTTTTCTACAAATATGGCTAATCTAGTATCATTCCTCGTGGCTTATAACCTGATGTCTCTACACTTTGTTGGAAACTGAAAGATACGTTAGTTATTCTTAATTTGGTTGACATTTATAAGTGATTTCGTTTATCTTTACCTAACCAAACAAACATGTATGCGGCACGTGTTTTATCTCTCCATATATGGCATTGTTCCACGTGCTTACAACAGGACGTTCAGTGTGTGTTTCTTTCTAATAAGTGAGTGGGAGTTAACCGAAGCGTTGTAGTAAAATCGCTAAATGGAGTGACACTTATAAGGAAGTGTGATAGAGCTTTTTCACGTTTTCGACAACTTTACTAACCTGGTGGTCTTGAATTGGAAGCAGATTGCGACAGAGGGTTGAAATAATTAACGATTATTCCACGAGCGCGCGTTGGATGTGAGATGAGAAATAGCCAACAAGGCGCGTTTTTGAATTCCCGCCTTTTTTCTATACTATGGGAGCTTAGTGAATTTGTTCTAACTCTAAAATTTAAAAACACTTGGCTGAATAAGTGTCCATATAAGGTGATTTGGTTTATGAACTGATAACCGAAGTTGATCGAACCAATCAGAACACTAGAAATGCAATATCTGGAATTTAAAATTTAATTATTAACAACTATTCACCGAAGTGAAGGTGGCCAGTGGTAGATATTTACCGAGCTGCTAAGCGACGAGGTGGATATCCAACGCTAGCCACCGATACTGAGGTGAATATTTTTTTAAAAATATATCCATTAAAACAGTGAGATAATAAAGCACAAAAATATGAGTTTAGCTCCCTTGTTCCTCCAAATATTGCAATAGTTTCGGGTACAAATCCCGTGCGAATTGCTTGGAGTCGAAAAGCAAAGGATATTCGGATCTTGAGTAGCCAATCAGAGCGCACCTGAAACGCTATCCACTTTGTTAGTCTGCACCTATATGAAATGCTCATCCACTTGATTTCTTTTGCCTCAAAAACCTCAGGAATTTTAATGTTTTCTCCACGAAGGTCCAGAAAAGCATTGAAGACTGTAGAGATATGGAAGATTGGCATCAACAGTGTCAGGTATGTTCATGAGCGGTTTAAAACAATCTGCGATAAACAACAGGGTAAAACTAACTTGCACAAAAAATTCTCAAAGTGCGAATCTTCCATCAAATACTACCACTCGCACACACAATGATCGTTCGTGCAATTTGCTGGCGAGCTGACAAAATTATAAATACCCAGGACGTGCGTGTTGATTATGCGCATCATGCAAGCTGGGTTGACTTCTTAACAAGATGCAAGACTCCTCTCCGCCTTCTCCTTCACCAGGTATTAGTTTCGCTCTGACGAAGGGATAACACCCGAAACGTCGGCTTTATAAACTCTTTACCAACCAAACTATCTTGTTATACCCACTACTGACACAGCACCACAGTTTGTAGAGAAGCTTATCCCTTTTATTCATTTGTTTGTCTGAATTGGAAACAAGGTCGCTCTGTTTCCATTCTTGTGCGTTTGGACTTCATCATTAAAACCTTGATTTGACACACAGAACTGTTATTTTAAATGGTTAGACACAAGTTGGTAGAAATTTGTCGTTCATATTTCTTGTAAACTTAATCAGCCTTGTTCGCAGAGCCTCCTGTTTTCTACTCTAAGCGTTCAAAAACATTGCTGAAGACGGGTAATGGGAAAGCTGGTTTAACCCTTGAACCCCTTAGAGTGTCTGGCTTCTAATTTCTCCGTAAAAGATCACCCTTGAATCCAAAGTTAAGGTTATGAGAACAAAGGAAAAGATCACTCAGTTTAAGAAGCTCCTGATTGTCAAACAAATTATCCCTGTTAGTAACATAGCAATTTTAAGAGAACAGTGTGGAGAATATGAAAGCTAATGTTTGGATACAACTGTTGCTTTAAGTTTAGACTTTTGGTTACAGGTTTGTTTTGTTCATTCAGGTGATTCTACGAGCAAGTTGTGGAATAAATTATGAAGAATTCGTAGAGTTTCTTGACTTGATAGCCAGACAAAGATTAAGGACCATTCAAGAAAAGAAGACAGGTACGCCAAGAGAACTCAAAGACATGGACAGTGAAGCGCGTTCCACAGAAACAGGCTCAGAAATCTCTGTATTTCAGGATTGGAGCAGGTCTATCCGCTTTCTAGAAGAACAGGAGCAGTGCTCTCTAATGAACTACTGTCGATACGATCTTATAAAAGTGAAAGAGTGTCTTGTAAACTTAAAGGACGAACATTCGTTTATAGAAATGCAAAGTAGAGACCTTCAGCTCAGAATTGACGCACTTTTGCAAGATATCTCAGTAACTCTGGAGAATGCCAGCGGTCGATCTCCACAGGAGAACGGTGGAATTGGTGTTGCTCTTTGAAGTCAATGGCCTGCGAGCAAGTCCTCGTCAGTAGTGTTGCAGGACGCGCATTTCTTTGCCCACGGGAAGATTGGAGACGAGAGAGAGAGGTTTCATTATTTGTGTCAGACTCCCAACAGACCCCTGGCCGGCCTGCCTTACTCAAGGACGCAGACTTTCCCGCGGGCTGAAAAACGCTTTTGTCGCAGCGTTGATAATGAAGGCTTCCTTGCATACTCTTGCACATAAGGATAAGATTTAAACAAAACGAAGTGACTCGAAAATGGAAGTAAAAATTGCTGGGCAAATTTAGACATAATTTTTTTTTTCTGGCTGTTGTTGTCTTTGTTATTCTTGTTTGTTTAGATTTTTTTTGAGCGAGTATTTCTAGTTTGAAGTTTGATAAATGCTACGCTGACTTGTGTCAATAGAGATCATGTAGACATGTATCATGTACTTGGCGCTGACATGAAGATTGCACAATGGAAAATGGCTTCTAATGAAGAATTTACGTAATCAGAATGGGAATGATCCAGGTAAAATAATCACTTTCAGTTCGTACTCTTTAGTTCAGAACAGGTGGGTACTCACCTTAGCACACCGACAAACCGATGGGTTTGCAGCTTCCGTAACATGTTCTGGCGATTTCCGTATGTCTCTAGTCGCCTTTTTATGTAGCATACGTGGTCGTAGGAGAGTAACTTCCATGATAATACCCTATTCACACCAAAGTTTAAACACGTTTTTTGAAAGCTGTCTTGTGAACCACGGCTTAAACCGATGTTTTTCGACATCAAATGTAGCACATTGAGTCTACAAGTTAGCAGATACTTGAATCCTATGGAAAATTCAGTTTTTTCAGTTCTCTGTTTCTGATAGACATTCAATCAGACCCTGTTAATGGTAATACTGGGGGATTTTTCACGGTAGCCAGTTCCAGGCCCTCAGTTATCAGGGCGAGTTAAAGAACATGTTATGCAGAAGCTGATCGGAAGCATAGTCCAGGAATTAACAGAGCCGGCTACAAGCAAATCTAGAGTAAAAATATAGCTGAATTTACTCTTATAGAAAAAAAATAATGATTGTTATAAGGGAGAGTAATATATGTATACAGTCAGCGGCAAGTTTCATTTCTTACAGGTCTTCACTTGATATTTCCTTGCTAATAAACTTGCGTTTTAAGATTTCCATCAACAAAACCCAGGAAACTTGCCAAAAGAAAGAAAATATGCCAGATTACAGGTAGTTTAACGGTAATTAAAGCGTGGAAAAAAATTATTGTGGTTTGTCATTCTAGCTTGCTTGCGGTCAGTCTCGACACCCTCGGTTTGCGGTGTCTCACCCTGAAACCATTACGTCAAACAATTAAAAAAATGTTTTTCTTTGTAATTAATTTCCCAGTGTGTATTCTCCTTTCAGTTTCTAATGCGGCGAAATTTGAAAATTTTTGGCATATCACTTTGTTGATGAGTTTAGTCTCAGCCTTGATCGTTGTACAGGATAGGATAGAGATATGATGTATAGAAGAAAAATGAATTATGAATGAACCAATGAACGAACGAGAGAGAGAGAGTGACTGGAGTGAGTTATAAATGAGTCGGTTAGACAATAGTGAAAACATAGGTTAGCAGATAGAGCATTTTTTTAAGGTCAAGGTCTATCATTTTCAAGGTTATTTCGTTCAAATGTGGATCTCTATTATTCAATTAACTTTCCAGTGAGGTACTGCCTTGAGGGTATTCGTCCACGCAAACCCAAACAATTCAAAATGGGGCGTAAGTAAGGATTTCGACAGGTTTAGGCAGAAGCCCCGAAGATGTGAAAATACGGCCGAACTTGTCTGCCAGACGGTAGTGCGCGTTTGATCAAATTGTATCACAAAAGTCTTGAATAAAAGAAGATTGTGAAATAAAGGCAACATTACGCCTCGATTTTTTTTTTTTTTTTTCCAATTAAGGTCGTATCCTCTAATTTTTTCGTTCATTCTCAGCACCTCTATCGCATTTCTATCTGCATTTGAATTTCGTTCCATTGACATTGGAAGCCGTAAACCTATTGGACGAAACTCACACCTTTGTCTTTCGTGAGATCTGATTGGCTCAGAGAGTTGAAAGAAGGTTCGTCATTTCCTTCACATGAAAACAATCCCGTTTTTTACGACAAAGCAAACAGCTGGGTCCGTTTGCTTTTGAGAAAACCTAAGGTGATGTCTTCTTCGAAAAGGACAAGGCTTTGCACAGAGTACTACCGGAAATCTAAGACATGTTCTTCGAACTTGCGAGGCTGTTGTTTGAGTAAGAAATTCTAGTGATCGGCTTTCAAATCGGTAGTGTTTGCCTAGCACTGTTGGCTTAATCGTAACGGCAGGTTTTACTTTACTTTGTCTAACCTTGCTCTTTGTTTCGCTTTAAAGAGAGGGACAGGCCACGAAGAAAATGCAGCACTGATCATACTTCGATGGATAAAAAATATAATCGCGTGGAAAGAGAGGAGGTCGGTGAAAATTATCGGACATGTGTTTTACGAATCTATCGATTAACCATAATTTTTTTCTCACTTCTTTGTTCTGTGCACAAGTCGGCGTCACTTGGCTAAAGAATAATTTAAAACGGTTTTTTATACTAATGATACCGGATCGAAAGTGAAAATTTAAAGTTACTTTTTTTTTTATGTCTTCTTTGAATTAATTGCAGTCGATCCTACCCCGGTTTACACGAAATCTTGACAAAACTCAAAGCCTCAATCGAAAGAGGTTGTGTAAACTTACAAGTTCCGTTAATCAGCGATCTTCATCCCAGAAAGGTATGTAAGGCATTGCCTTCCTACGATAGTTCTAATTTTTTTCCAATGAACATTTGAAATGAGCTGTTTCTTTTTGTGAGCGTATGTCTTTGTTAATGGTCTTTCATTCACAGCGTCTTTGTTGATCAAGCCTCCACGTGCCCTTTGACTCAATATTGTAATTGCTGTCACGAAATATTTGAATGGAAATGTGTTGGCATCATTTAGTTGTAAACTCAAGTCGAGAGGCACGAAGATATCGCTTCGGATGTGCAAAAGTTTTGTAGCCCTAAGTAGAGCAAGATTTTAAGCGTATTATTTCAGGAATGACACAAACTCAGCATGAATTTAGTAGCGTACCGATCGAGTGACGCACATGTTATCTTTCCACTATGACCCTTTACCCCAGAAGGGATCAAAATGGAATTTCTACTTAAATATCTTTAATTTTTCTTAAGTCATAAAAATTATGGAAGACATTGTGAAGAACTGTTATTTAGATCCTGGGAATGAAAAGGTCAAATACCTCCCTGCAGCATCTCAACTGGTTACCAATCACTTTGGTTACCAGTCAAAGGTATCTTTACACTTATAGTTTGCAGGTGGAAACTGCAAACTCTAAGTGTAAAGATTTTGACTGACCTTCACAGCTTTCCTATGAATGGTGGTTAAATGTATATTAAATCAAATCTACTTAAATGAGCATAGATTCAATGTGTATAGCTAAATATAATTGGCTACTTTACTAGTTTATTGATTTCAACTGTGACAAACTACAAGCTTAAATGACTGAATATAATCAACTAGTTAACGAGTTAATCTCTTTGTTTGTGGTTGGTGGCAAGGTGAATTTGCTTGGTGGCAACAAATGGTTGGTGGCAAGGTGGTCTTATGGTGGTGACTTTATTGATGGGGAGGTGACTGGTTACCTCTCAACTGACTTCTTTTGAACCTTGAGGTCCACAATATCTCTTACATGCCATTTTTAATTTGCAGTTGTTTCAAACTGCTATATCAAAGCTGTTCCTGATGAGGTTCTGCTTCAGATATGTTCCTATCTTCAAGAGGGAGACCTTTGCAGTATGGCACAAACATGTAACAGACTTAGTGCCATTTGCCAGGATGGCTGTTTATGGTAAGTATCTGGGGAGTTATTCAGTGGAACATTGTTGATCATGTTATGTGAATGTATAGAAGACCATTAGTCCTGAAAGTGAGTGAGATTTTGACCGACCTTCAGGCTTTAACAGGATTCTAGTCTTAACCTCCAAGTTTCTAAGTGGGTGCCTCTCAAACTAACATGCAAGCTATGAAGCCACATGATGGAAGCAAGACTGAGATTTTCCATTTCTCTTTCATCACTTATCTAATTTGTCTTTAATGTCAATACAGGCGATCCCTCTATAGTCAAGTATTTGAGACGGCAAACATCATGATAAAGACTTCTGAAGGTGTCTATGTTAAACAAGAACCTGAAAATGACTTGTCCTGGAAAAGAAGCTTCCGTACACTTTATCATGCCCATCATGTTCATCCTACCACCGCAAAACAGAAGAAATTAAATCCACTACAATACACAGGAAGAAAAATTAATGTAAGCTGGCTTTAATATAAAAAGTAAATTTAA